CTGTTCTCTGTCTCTGGGGATTCTGATGATTGCCTTCCTAGAAGGGCACTGAAGCCTTCCACATCTTCAATCTATGCTCATTTCCCATTATTCCCAAGCCCAACCTCCAACCTCCAACCTGAAACCATCACGGTGAGCTGGCCCCCGCCCCCTCCCCCGCCCCAGCCTTTTCTCTGTAGGGACCCTTCCAGGGCTCACTATTTATCCTTCTCAGTAATGCCAAGCGCTTTGTTCCACCTACCATGACCCACTCAGCCTAGAGTCACAGGCTAGACCCTACGGGCAGTAATGACACATCTGCTAGTTACCAGCAGTACTTCACACATCTGCCAACCTCCAGCGCCCACAAGCAAACCACCTGGACCAATAAAGCGCTAAACTTCCCCGTGTCTTGCTGGAATTACCGCCGGAGTTTGTTAGTGAACGGGACAGAGCACAACTACAGGTGTAAGTAAGCACCTCCAAGCTAGAAATAAAGATCTGTCAACTGGATGGAGGCTAAGAGAAGCATTAGAAGGTAAACATTTCAAAACGGTGATTACCAAAGGGGAAAACAGCCGGCGCTGAAGCAGGCACTGTCTAGGGGCCACAGGCCTCCCTTCTCTGCCCTGCTCCAGCACCGACACAGGCCTCCTGCACACTATCCGTCTCTCTAGAGACACTGCAGACAGGGAGCTATTCTGAGGAGAGAGGGACTCTAGGGACAGGGGAGCCCAGGGAACTCAGACTGAAAAGTGGAACAGGCAGGCACCTTTGCCCAAGACCAGCATTTCAGAGCCTCTTCTTCCTCTGCAGAGCTGGGAGCCTAAGGCTCTCAAAGAAAACTGATGAGCACAGGGTAAGGAATACGGCAGTGGGAGAAAGCACCCCCCACTACTCTTCACAACTGAGTTTTCTTTCTTACATTGGCAGTACTGTGGCTGGAAATCAGAGCCTCGTGCTTTCTAGGCAGGCACTCTACCATCTGAACCTCCCTGCCAGCCCCCCTGTTTGCACTGGTTTGTTTTAGCAATAAGTGTCCTATTTGATAGCCTGGAGGCAGTCTGGACCGCAACCCTCGGACTTGTGTTTCCCTGTGTCACTGAGCTGTCAGGGGCATGGCACTGTGACCATCCACTGGCTGAGATGGAGTCTCACAACTCCTCTCCCCCCTACCCCAGACTGGCCTCAAATGGTAATCCTAAACAGTTAGGATTACGGGCCTGCGCCACAGCACCCAGCTACAATCTTTATTCCAAGCAGCAATTTCCTCACCAAGGCCTGCCTTCAAATTCTGTGTCAAACCCAAATCCCATCTCCTAGGAAGTCTAAACCACCACCACCATCTCTCCACCTAAGACCCAGAGTGATGCCTGTCCCTGTGGCCTCCTCCAGGCCTCGTGTACTTCCTTCTGCGGAGCTAACAGTCACCAATGACCATGGCTACAGGATGTGGTCACTTTCACACCAGGCTAGAAGCCTGGTGTGGAACCCCTTGTTCATGGGCAATGGCTTTGGGACACAAGATGGAATGACTGTTGGCTAGCTGAGCAAGCACCTTCAGTCCTGCTACCTTCCAGAACCTTCTTCACTTGTAAAGTGGGGTAGCAAAAGGGATCAACCTCCAGAGAGATGAAGCTCCTAAGAAAATGCACACGGGATGCCCTGAGCACACAGAAAGCTCTTAGCTGCCCAATGCCCACCATGGTTCCTCCAGAGAGGAGAGTTAAGGACCCAGACTTCGCGGCTCCATCATCGGGATCTAGAGCTCAGAGATGTCCTCATTAGCTCGGTAACTTGGGTGGCTCCTTACTGCCATTGTGCTCCTGTTTTTCTTCGACATATCAACACACTCTCTTCACCAGGTTAGAAGGCACCAGTGAGCCCTCCACAATGCCACTTGTACTGGCGATGGCAGTGGTGGTGACTGGCATGCTGGTTCCAGTACTGCACAGGGCAGCGGGGCTGGGGGATAGCAGCTCAGCACTGCTGAGCAAGGTCCAGCTCTAGCCCGGGCACTTGAGTCTGTCCTGCAGCCAGTAGGATGGGGGAGCCTGCAAACACTGGTCCCTACCCACCCCCTCAGCCCCAGGTCCTGAATAACAGCCATAGGGACTCAAGAACAACAGCTTTTAGACCTACACAAGCTCAAACCCACACACTGTGCTTTGACCTAACCTTACACCTAACCAATTTACCTCTTGTTAAGCTAATAAACTTGATGAGGTAGCCCACACTTGCATTACTGTTTGCTGTTTTTCCTCTCAGCTATTTGAGGTTTGCAGACAGTTGCTCAAGGACACCAAGCATGTTCTGGGGTCAGGAGAGCTTCCTCTGAATCCTGAATGCACAGGACCTCCATGATCTTAGCACAACCTGCTAAGAGAAGACTCTTCCTGAAGAGTAAGCAAGGAGGAGCTCACATCCCAGCTGCCTACAGGTCCAAAATGCATGTCAGATCGCATGGAGCTTTCTAACTTGAAGTCTATGGGGAGCATAGGGAAGGTAGAATCCTTACTCGTGGTCCAAGAATGGGCACATGTCCAGGTGAGAGAAAAGCTTGCAAAGAGGTGATATGTACTCCCTCTCAAAACCTAGCTTCAGTGGAGCAGGCACAGGTGGTTCAAGCCTAATCTCAGGATCTCAGGAGGCTGAGATCTGAGGATTGTGATTCATTCCAAGCCAGCCCAAGCAGGAAAGTCCATGAGCCTCATCTCCAATAAACCACCAAAACTCCAGAAGTAGAGCTGTGGCTCAAGTGGTAGAGCACCAGCCTTGAGCTAAGCAGGAGTATGAGGCCCTGAGTTCAAGCATCAATACTGGCACATGCGTGTATGCATGCACGCACACACACACACACACACACACACACGTCACAGGGGTAGTCTATCTTCCTGGGAAGTAGGGTAGACATGTCAAGCTAAAATAGGTGATGAATTGCTTGGACTCCATTGAACAATGGTTCTGCTCATCTGGATAAACTGGTCCCAGACGTCTGTGGGCTACAGAGACCAGTCTTTATGAATGGTGGGGAGAACCCACTGGATCCTGCCATCACTTCTGGGCTAGAAAAAAAGGAAAGATGAAACTTTCCCCGCAGGCCAGCTTCTTTGAGGAGCCAGAAGCTTATCTGAGAAAACAAGGGGTTATCTGTGCCTGTGTCACCATTGATCTAGCAGTCTCTATCTGCCTGTTGATAATGAGCATCTGAGCACTAAGATGCATAGCCAAACACACACACACACACACACACACACACACACACACACAATCTCCATCAATGCCAAAGCTGTTCTTTGCAGGTAAGAGAGCCACAAGTTGGGCATGCTTTGGACATTTCCAGTTTGATATAAAACCCAGGACTCACCCATCTGCCCTTCTGGGAGAGATGACATGAAGTAATGCAAAGAGAAACTTTGGAGAAAAGAACGTAAGCTGATTTTTTTTTACATAATATCCTTACCAGAAGCCAGAAACGCATAAACAATAATTATCAAGTTTTCAAATTCACAACACAGCCCATTGTATATTTACAAACATCTCACAAACGTCTGGGGAAATATCTGAAGGGAAAGGTGGGAACAATATAAATATTTTGCATACTGTCAGACCATGTTAAAACGGGAATTTTCAGTAGCAACCAAAGCAAGTAAGTAAGAGCCTATTCCATTTTATTTCTGCATTTTTCATGCAAACATCCACCCACCAGATGTTGGATTCCACCGTCCACTATGCTATCATTTCTATCACATCATAATTGGACGGGGTTTAAGTTGTTTGCCAAGTAGACACTGTCCTCGCCTGAGCAGATAGCCATCACCAGAACTAATGTTGGTTCCAAAAGGTAGAAAGATCGAGTCTGGGAAGGGAGAAGCGCCTTTGTTTCTCCAAATTCACCAAGACCCGTTTAAGTTCTCCGTCCTGCTTCCTAGTGTTTAGTCTGTCAGCAGGAGGAGGGGCTTGCCTGCTTCTTGGGGGGTGGGAGGGCTCGCCGCCTTTTCTGAGAGTGGGAATAAGCGCTCTGGATGGCTTAGGAAAGAGACACTTGCAGAAAGGACTCCCCTGACGCGCTGGCTGTGGGAACTGAAGTCATCTCTGACAAGGTACACCTGCCACAGACGAATGAGGTTAGGGCAGAAATGCCGAGCGTGTGGCTGCCTGTTTATCTCTGTGTGGGTATTTTCCAGAAACCTCGGCAAATCCTGAAAGTTCACGTAACTTTAAATGTTGAAAATGTGTTCAACCACAGCCAAAGGTAGAAGTGGGGGAGAGGAGAGCAGAATGTGGGGCTGGGTCGATGGGGAAAATCCCCAGGGGTCTCCCTAAGAACCCCGTGATCAGCAGGGTGGCCGGGCGCTAAGAAGGCGCTGGGAAGAAGCTGGGTCCTCTCCGCCCCCCCCCCACAAACTGTCCCCAGATGCCAGCTGCTCGGAGCCCCCTGGGCACTTCGCCCCTGCCCACCACGGGCCTCTGCCGGCACCATCCACCAGAAACTCCAACCCCAGCGCTCCCAGCCCACACCCCCAGAGCCGGGCCCCGAACCCCAGAGCAAACACCCCCGGGGAGACCCCGGAGCCCGGGGCCCTGCGCGGAGACTCGATCGATCCGCCCCGGGCAGGGGACGCGGGGCCAGGGGAGCGGAGCCAGCTGGCGTCAACCGGAAAGATCACGCCACCGAGAGGGAGAAACTTCCGAGGGTGTGCGTCTCGGTCCCGGGGAGCGGCGGGACCCCGGGACAGGTGGTTGGGGGCTGGAGAGGGGCTCCGGCCAGGGGACCCGACAGAGCCGGAGCCGCCCCGGGGCGCGGTGGGGACAGACAGGCCGGTGCCGGCGCCCCAGGGTCCCGAGAAGGGGACACGGGGGTCTTTTGCATCCCGGAAGCCACATTCGGGGGCCCCGGGCTGGGAGGGGCTCTCCACACAGGCCCCAGGCATTCGCGTCCGCGCAAACAAAGTTGGGGCGCGGAGAGGGCAGGCGGGTCCCCGCGTCGGCGCGCCCCGCTCGCAGCGCCCGCTACTTACACGAAGACCCCGAAGAGCAGGGCTCGCACCCCGATCTCGATGGCCAGCTCGCGCATGGTGCAGCCCGGGCAGCTCCCGCCGCCGCAGCCGGTGCTGTCCGCGGCTCCGGCAGCTCA